GATCCTGTAGCCCTTTTTAGCATCAGCCAAGGCCTCTCTGAATAAAATGAGCAAGATTCTTCATAAAGTCTTTCTAGATGACCTCAAAACCTTCAAAATTCACTTCCGCACCCCATGCCATGAATACTCTTATTTATAAATGGGTTGCTTAGGTTGCAGATGAGTACATAGTTGTTAAAAGTGTGTCTAGCCTCCAAAAAAGCCCCAGGCTCACCTAGAGCGTTTCCACCTAGTACAAGCCAGGTCCCTTTAGTCAGGCTCTAATAAAGTCCTCAGGCTTGCGCTTTTTAGTAGGCACCCAAAAGAGCGCACCTTTATTTTTTAATCATTTATTTCATACCATTTTATTTTTTTATTTAATGATTATTAAATTAAAATGTTCAGTGTCATATCATGATCATATTTAATGGATCTTATTGTTCAACTTTATAAAATATTTAACAAAATTCATAATTTTATAGACTTTATTGTTCACTACTTATATTAATTGCATTTATTAATGGGTGAAGTGCAAAAAACACCCTTATGGTATGCATACAGTGCACATAACCCCCTCTTGTTTTAAAAACACCCTTAATATTCACTTCCAGTCCACTTGAGCGCCTTATGTCAGTTCGCTGTTAACGGAGATTTACAAAGACTTAAATACCCCTTTCACAAATGACAAACAAAAACAAAAAATTAAAGATTGTAGAAAGACAAAAAAGGACAAGCCAAACAATGTTGTTTGACTTGCCCTAAAAGACCCCAATCCTCGCATAATTAAGAGATACAATGTATACATATACATAAATATTTATATTTGTCTATATATATTAGATGAAAGCTAGGGTTATGGAGGAGAGAAAATGAACCCCACCTTTCCCTTTGATCTCACCCTCCTCCTCGTCCTCCATTGTTAGGGTTACAGAGCAGAGAAAAAACTGAACCACACCCTTAGTCCCTCTAATCTCACTCTCATCTCCATTGTTAAGGTTACAGAGATGAGAGAAAGCGATGTCCTCATAGCAACGCTGTCTGTACATGAGAGAGAGAGAGAGAGTAAATAACAGGGGAAATCTATCTCATTAATCCACTGTATAATTTCATCCTCAGAACAATTCAAAATCGTCGCATCTCCACCGCTGGCAAACAACAGCCCCTTCTCCTAATCAACAATACCACTGGCGAGCTTTTATTAGTGTTCTCTCTCTCTCTATGTATATATATATATGTATCTGTATACATTATTGTATCTGATGTTCTATATATATACATGGGTCATTCTTATTTGTAGAAATTTGATGAAAAAGGAAAACAATTGACAATAGTTTTCAATTGCATGTTTCCACTTGTTTTGGTTTCTAAAAAATGAGAACTTCGCATCGATGAGAGAAAATAGTTGTATTAAATTCTCAAGAGTGTGCAGTCAAGTGGAGGAGTAGATATATATATATATATATATATATATAATATGCTCAAGGGCATTTTCGGAAGAGAGAGAGGGTAGTTTTGGCTTTTCAGATGTTAAATATGTCATGTGCAACGCAGATGACTGTCTAACGGTCATTTGCTAACGGCTCACTGATGACAAGCCCTTGCTTGCAACATTTTTGAAAACAATCTTACAGACACAATAGAAATTACGAGGGTGTTAAGTGCACAAAATGCATTTTTTCATCTTATCATTATCACGTTACTTATCAAAAAAAAAAAAAAGGAGTGATTTTTTCATCTTGCCCTTTATTAATTGCATTTGGTGATTGATTCTGAATATATATGATAAATATGTTTAAGGTTTGCAATGATTAAATTTTGTAGTTGTTTCAGATTTTTAATCACATTTAATTTGGTTAATGCATATGCATATGAAAGGATTTATGAGCATTAATTTATTGTTCCTCGTAATTGATTATAAAAAATCCCATCATTATTTATGTCACATATCTTGAATTGTTTCGATTGTACATTGATTTTATTGAATGCATTTGCAAATAGAAAAGATATATGTATGTTGAGTTAGATATATGTATGTTGAGTTAGCTAATCCATTGAATCAACATGTTTAAAAATTTCTTATCTGATATTGACAAGTTTGTATTGCATAGTTTAATTATTCTTTATATACTTGTAATTAATATGCATTATTACACAAGTGCCTTACTTCAATCAGGCTCACACCCTATATTGCGCCTTTCGTTCAGGCTCCAAGAGACCTTTGGTGCCTTAGTGCGCCTTGAGCCTTTAAACTATGGATGAGTCTATTTGTTCATGAAAAGTTTGGGCTCTCTTTCTAACACGCTTGTTCATGATCATTCATTATCTATGAACCAATCTTGGACATTGATTTTGAGCTTGTTAACCAAACCAGGCTCATAAAGGTGCAATACTTGCGCCTACTGTGTGCCAAGGTGCGCCTTTGACAACATTTGCACCTTTTATATGGAAGATTAATACTTTAATGGTAATATAATTTTTTCCATTGTGCGCCTTATTTCACTTAGGCGCACGCCTCGCCTTGCGCCTATCGCCTTAGTGTGCCTTGGGCCTTTTTTTCCTAGTTGAGCAACCCTTGGCTCATCTAAACTACGCGAATGAAATTATACATTTGATGTTTAAAGATCTATAGGTATAATTTCAAGTTCACAGGGATGTATAAGAACATGAAAGAAAGTCAAATAAGAAACACTTTCTCAGGCCAAATGAGAGCATGGCAATGCAAAGTTCACAAGTAATGGTAGCACTTGAGTATTATTCTTCTTTCCTGGGAGGGGTTTCTAGCTCATTATGGACTCCTCCCACTTTCCCTCTTCCTATGCTCCACACCTTTGAACACTGTCATTTTTCTTGTCTTGAAGTCCAATCAATTCCATCTCTAAACTGTTTCATTGATTATACTCAAATCAAGATTTAGCGAAAACCCTGTTGGAAAAAGACATCGAAGTATATTAATTAATAATCTTCACTTGCAGAACCTATTATTCATAGTTTAAACCATTTAAAGCCATTATTTATTTATTTATTTTATGAACTTTTGTATGGAGACCAAGAAAAAAATTTCTTCCAATTCTTATTCTTATACCATTTGTCAATTGTTCCATCAACAAATTCTTTATTTGGGATTGATGCAAATCTGATGAATGTCTGGACAGGTATGGTGGTGCTTGTCCCTAGCACGAGCTAAAGCCCAAGCACACCTCTGGGGTAACCAATCCTTTTTTTGATAAGTACCTGTGGGGTAACCAATCTGAGCCTGAACATGTCAAGGCTTGGCTTGGTTCGCGGACCTATCTATAAAATCTCCCATCTATTACCAGATGTCCACCGCTACATACCCAACAAAACCCTATTCCTATCACTTTGCAGGCAAATGCATAGCCCTACAGCCATCGTAGAAGCAGAAATCACCCCTAATTCACTGGAAAATGTAAATTACCATCTCAACCTCTTTCTCTCTCTCCAAATTATACTTAATATAGTTTTCCTGAAGTATGAGTACTTGGCAAGAATTTATTAGTCCTATAGATTTTCAGATACAATTGCTAGGTCACATGCTTGCTGACAAAATTGTGCTGAATACCCATTGTGTTTGAACATCCAAGAAATATGTTGTTATGGTATTAATTTTACCTTCTTAATGAGTTGTTTTGGTTAGTGGGACTTCCCAAGTAGTATATGTTAAGAAACTTTTGAATCACAATGTTTTAGCCCATCAAGGTTACTTTAGGAATAAGCATAAGGAATAGGATAGGCTAGATATAGATGTGAACAAGTTCTTGAGAAGGTTACTGGTTTCTAGTGGAAACAGCAAAATCTCCCTTGCTCTCTTTCTTTCTTTCTTTTTCCCATGCAAATTTTTCTCTTTCTCCATACACACACCCAAAAAATATATATATATATGTATAAATAACTGCAGCCATCTGATTTATTAATATATCTTATTCCTGGTCAGACTAGTTTGATTAATTGGACCAGGTTACAAACTTGTTTTGTAGACCGCCAAAATTGGAGTGGTTGCAACTGGTAACGGAAATAATTGCAACATATTAGCAACAGTGAATTAAATGCTCATAAAATAAGAAAAAATATAAAATAATGGCAACTTAGTTCTCCATATTCTACTCTGTTATTTTCCTAGTTGGTCTATTGGAACTATGCTGGTGGCAGATAGAAAATGTTCGCTCTAGTGCAGGAGCTGTTGCTATTTGGATGTGGAAGAAATGAGAAGTAGATGATATTAAGACTACAGGCTATGGTATTCATATTCAAAGCATTAACTTGTTGCATCAACATGTATCTGAAAAAAATAATTTTTTTTGTTGCATTAGCTTCTTTATAATCCACAACACAGAATATTAAGGAATCATAAAGTCAATTGCCTCATGACGTCTAATTGTTGGATTCTTCTATTAAATTTGTGCCCAAATTGATTTAAAATAAAATATCTCTAGTAAAATAAAATATAAAATTTAAATGCAAATTGAATCTATTTTGGGTGATGTATACATAAAAGCTAGACATATTGCATTTCCTTGTTCTAGAGCATTGCCTATCCCTTTGTTCTTCTATATATATGGGCTGAAAATTATCTATCGTTTTGTTAGTTGATTACTCCATAGCGGTTTAAACAACTTTAGTTCTTCACTAACTATCACTTTAATACTCACGAGGGCTCTTTTTGGGATTTCCATTTAGATTTTCCTGATTTCCTGGGTGATGTATATATATATATTTCTGGACGAAGTTGCTTAAATTGTTATATACTGATTTTGGACAATACACTGTCTGATGTTCAGGTCATATTCTATACCTGCTTCACATATCTGGATATCTGCAATGCACACGGGTTCCATAGATTTGATTCATACATTGTTTAAAAATTTTGAAATCACAATTTTGGAGTTCTTATAAAGTGTCGTTCGATTAGATTAATTCATAGCCAAGTCGAGTAGCTGAATCTTATGCCTCCCAGAGTATTCATTCACTGATAATAATTTTTCTCCTGTTCCTACACATTCTAGAGCGAAATCAAATGGCTAAGCAAAAGAACAACTTAAATGGGAAGCGAGGTGATAAAAGAAATGGTAAAATTCCTTTGAAGAGTAAATATGATACTTTTTCTCTAAAGGCTGGCTTGTCGAGCTTTGGTTCATCTGTTGGAGGGAACAACAATCTTGGTATGTCACTAATCTACATAATAGTTGTTTGTGAGATTGTTTTGTTAATTGCTATTATGCTTTGGGAGTTGCTGCAGTTTGTTCTTATGTGTATGTTGATACTGTGAGGTCATTATGATATATGAAGCAAGTTTGTTACTTTACCTTTTCTTTAGTTGGTTTCCTGCCGCATGATTGACAATTCTTGATGGTAGTTTTGTGTGAAAAATTCAATAATTACATAATGCAGTTATAAGTTCCACAACCTTCCCTTTTCTTGCTTTATCCACGTGCTCAACCTTTCGAAGTTTATTGTTTTAATAAACAGTGATACTGGACAAATGAATCTCTTCTGTTAATATACTAGAGGCATAACTTGAGAAAATTGAACAATGAATTATATAAATATCAAAACTGGAAAGATCCATTGTTGAACCTACACTTGTGATCAGAAGTACTCCACCTAATCCAGACCAAGTTAACCCAGTGGCACGGTTGTTTGGTCCCCTGGGTGTTCAAGTTATGTGCACTCTCTAATTGTTCTATGCCATTCAAACTGTCCTCTTCCATATTTTCTTTCTTTTCCTGCCCGCACACTTTTTTCTTAGGCAAAAGATTTGTTATCCTAGGGAAGTCCTGTTACAAGAAGAGTAGGCGGTCTGCATTCATCTAGACCTGATTGAGTGTTAGTAGTTGCTTGAAACTTACCATTGAAACAACTTTGTTTACACAAATATATATTTCTACTGTAAAAACCGTTCTAAAAATATTTGCATGGTCTATAGAGTGGTTCAAATATTTCAATCACATTACCTAACAGTTTTAACATCCCAGTCCAGTGATTGGAATGCATGCATATCTGTAGGACAAAATATGGTCTAGGGCCTCTAGGTCCTGTTCTGTAAATTCACTTTATTTAATTTTGGTAAAAGAAAATCCACTTTGTTATGGTCAAGTAAATGATTCTCACTATATTCAGAACAATGAACAGGATCCACATCTGATAGTTTTTGCTTAATCCAGAGGTAGCAACAGTAGTTATATTATATGATATTTTACCACACAATCGGTGTACTATTTTTATTTTTTCTTAACTTTGTCCAAGACTCCAAGTAATAACATACAATGATAGCTGTGGTGTTAAATATAGCAGAAGGGCAAGATACGATTTTTGTAGCTGACCTCACATAGTTGGAAAAATAAAGAAGGCTTTCTTGAGTTGAGTTAAGTTGAGTTAATAACATAAACTGATTTCAAAATAATTTGATTATAATCAAATCACTGAATTTGTCAAATTCAACCAAGTAACGGTGCATGTGGTAAATTATGGCAGTGGCTCATAATTGCTCTTGCGGAATAACCTAGTTTCAAACTTGGTTATAGACCTAATTGAGGGGGTGAAGTCTTAAATTTTTTTGCATGTGTTTTAAATTTTAAATGATTGTTAATTTCAGCTTTAAATTCAATTAATCATTCACTAACATAATCAATCAGCATACAAACATGAATAAGCAGAATATTAAAGATATATGAATGAGCAGAATATTAATGGAGAACCACATGTATTTATATGAAAACCCTTCAAGAGAAGAAGGGGGGCGGGGGGGATCTCTTTCAGGCGTAAACAATCCTTTATGAGAAGCGAGAACAACTTTAATAGACTTTTTACTTCTAAGAACCACTCAAGTTTGGTTTGCCAACAATCCTGAGTTTACTCTTTAAGAATTACCTAAGTTGGTCTGTCAAAAAATTTGGCAATACATCTCTGTGGACAAGGACTTCATAAACACGGTTTGAAATAGTCAGATCAGTATTGTTGGCTTCTGATTTACTAACGGAATTCGGTACAATATTAACATGAGACAAAATTGATTAAGTATCATGTGATGAATCATTAGTACCCTGGATACATCATTGTCTTGTGTGGTGTTGTGCGAGTTGCCTTGTATTGCCGTGATGTTGCATTTTCTTTTGCGCAAGGTTTCCCAAGTCACAAAGTATTTTGCTTTTCATTCTGATAGCCAATTAATGCATTTGTGTAGAGGCAATAACCCAAGATCTCTCACTTTCGTTCTCTCTTACCTTCCAAAACCTATTTACAGTCTCTTGTAGTCTCATTCTCTTTCATTCTCAACTCTCAAGTGCATGTATGAAATTGTGGAAGGCAGGGCAAGCAGTAATGTTTGTGTTCTTTTTGTTGCTATTACCTTCTACACCCTAGAACTCTCTATATGGGCTTTGGTAGCCTCGCATGTAGTTTGTGAATCATTATGGTGACATCTTAATCCTTTTGTGCCTAAATGGTTTTGCCACTGAAGTAAACAGGAAATGATTTATTTGTATCAATAGAACTGTATCCAATAAATCGGAACAGCAATATCAAAGCACAGACAAGAACAAAGTGCCCCACTTCAAAACTTTTTTAGAGTATTTTCCTATAGAAACAGAAGTTCTTTTTGCCGTATATTACTGAATGTGGAGAATTCCTTTATATAGACAGCAAAACACTAATACTAAAGCAAAGTATATAAATAATAAAACTCCCATTCTCTTCCTAATTCAACCAGCATATACTCATGTAATTAAACCTATCTGCTCTTAGGTGAAGATTGAAGATTACTTCCAAGTGACAAAAAATAAGTTAAAACTGATCTACCATCCTAATCTAAAAGATTTAATCCAGCATGAGAAGAACACTGGAAGAAGCTTTGGGTTCTAAGCCACATAAAACTCAAAGTCTTACCCTGGAGGTTTGCTTGGGCTTTATTCTAATATCAAAATCATTCTTACCTTATGTGTTGTATTCTTAGAATTAGGTAGAACCTTTTTTCTTACCCTGTTTTATGTACTGGCATCGAGAAGTGCAAGAAAGTGGCTTAAAGAGATATTTATTACTTGCTGTAAAATGGCTTTAAGGGGTGTTACATCCTTTATTTTTTGGTCACTATTCAACTCAACTAAAAAACTTCTTGCTACTTGCTGTGATCTTTCGAGACTAATTTTTTATTTTAGTTTCTTTTCAGAGACTAAATAACGTGCTGGCAAATCTAGGTGCTTTACAAATAAACTGTTACAAATATCCAATGCTGATATCTCCATTTCGTGATCTTGTCTACAATTCTCAAAGAATGGCTATTATAGTAATAAAGAATATCTTTTATTATTATTATTTTATTTTTCTCAATCAAGCTAATACAGTAACTAATTTTTTTTAAGACAAAATTTAATGCTATAGATTATGCTGTTTATCTAATACATCCATTTCATAAAAATTCATTTTTTTCTTTGAACTCACCCAATCAATTCTTATTATGTCAAAATTTTCATATATATATATATATATATTTTATATTCTTAAGCCTTTTATTTAGTGGACCTTTGCTGATCCAATAGTTGGGACCATGTCGGATCTCTAATCCCAGAATCAGTGACTGATACCACTATTGATTATCATGTTCTCAAGTGTCATAGTCTTTATAGATCAGGGATTTGCCTGTAGTTACTGCTTGAGCTGTTTCTTTGCCATCGATCTTATGCATCATTTCAGCATAAAATTAGTCATTCATATAGGTCCAAAGGGTAATCTGTTCGATACAATTAGTATGTTTTTAGGCTGAATTTTAGGGTAATCATGCATTAACTTTTTATTTGATTATAGCCGAACTTTAGTTTTTAGCTTGAACTTGAAAAAGAACACACTAGTAATTTTCTAATATGCTATTAGAACTAACTCCTATGTACCTTCTTTTCTGTTGCATATCCAATTACCTTGCAGTAGCTTTCTATCTGACTATTGCCTTTTAGGTTTCGACTGTAACCCAGGAAAATATTGTTGTTGATCTCTTGTATGTTATTAAAATCAACCTGTATATAATATGTTGTACAACCATCTTTCTCGTTGCATAACAATAACTTCGCATCTCTTCCAATGTTACCATGTTGTGATTGTTGAGAAAAAATCATTTTTGCACGCTGTATATATTTCTTTCCCCACTCTACCTTGGTCATATAATGATTTTCCATTTCAAGTACTGAATGTTTGAACATGTGTATAATTGCATAATGCACACTTTATTCAGGAGTATATGGTTCAAAACAAGATAGTTTTGATGTCACAAAGCATGTAGATGAGCTGTCGTTGAACGAACTCCTAGATGGCAGTTACAAGTGTCCCAGTTTTACTAAAGACAAGGGAAAGAAGGCAGCAAATTCGAACGAAACATTCCTGAATTCTGTTAGAAGTATTTTCTCTATTCTTCGGCTCCGAAAACCTATACGACCCCAAAATTCTGCTGATATTGATAATAGTTGCAACCATAAAGTTACCACGTGCCTGGTGAGCTCTGGCTCTTGTGTAGCAGGCAGAAGTGACGGTGATAGAGGAGATACCTACACAAAAGATCGATCATCATGTAACAAGGTTAGATGACTCTTTATTTTTAGTCCCTGCTTTCCCATTGTGGATCTGAAATTCAAAATTGCATGGAAAGTGGAGTGCAGGAAGTTAAAAGTGGATGACAGTTTCCTTTTCCATTTCTTTAATAAAAGAATTTGGCTGAATTGACTGTGTACATATCAGAGGTTTCTGAATCGTTCTTGGAAGACACTTTGTTATATATGTAACATATCTCAACTGTCAACATGTAATGGGATTGTGTTATATTTGACGATCCTTATGATCCACTGAGGGGTTGTTGTTCGATTGCTCAAGACTATTGTACTAATCTCCTTTGCGAATATTGATATTGAGTACTTGTAATAAATTTATAACTTTGTTTTATCTTGTTTTCAGATGTTTCACGATTCTTGTGGTTGTAGCAAGCTCAAATCACCTGCCCATATGCCTGACTTCCCATTGTATCAACCTGAAGATATTTTGGAGCGCCTTGCTCTTCCTCCACCCAAAGATTTGGAGTCTTTGCTCCTTGATGCTAGCAAGCCTGCTTTACCTTCAAGGAATAATTCCGAGCTACGTTTAGGCAAGCCAGTATCTAATCGAGCTGGCTTGCCACCCTTTCCTTGGTCACATACTTCCGGTGGGCATTATAAATCGAGTTCTGATGCAGCTAAATTTTCTACAACTAGGACCAATTGCCAAGGTAGATGGGTAAAAATAGAGAGCAGTGCCACTTCTTTGAATAGCACCACCAGTTTCCTTGTGGACTTTGAGTCACTTACTTACGATCACAGTCTAGTACCTTCAGTGGGTCCCAATTTAGGGCCTTCAGAAAATAAAAATGTCCCATCTACATCTATTAGCTTTCTCTGTGAACGTAGTTTATCAGCTTCTGCAACAATCTCAAGAGCTTCCAAGGTTCCTCCAGGTAATATTTCTTGGAGGCATTAGTTTCTATGAGTTACTATCATCCTTTGAAAATTGAGTTTGTTACATTTATGCACATATTTTGTTGATCTCCATCTGAAGTAGGCTTTAATGACTTCATTTTCCCCCTTCAATATGCAGAATCTGGAGGCGGTTTCGATTGTCAAGACAATGGTATGATATACAGTTTATATTATATTAGTGACCTTGCTCTTTTGCTTAACAGTTGCCTCCATATACTCTTGAATGCACATACATTTATGTGTTTCAGTTTATATGTTTACTTGCTCAGTATTTTTTTGATTTTTGTTCTCCCCACTCCCTTTTTTTTTTTTTGGTTTGTTTGTTTGTTTTTTCTTTTTAACTTGTAAGCAAAAACAATGATAAGTGCCTCCAAGTATGCCTCTGTGGACTTGTGCTTTTGGAGACCAAAAAAAAAATTCCAACAAAAAAAGAAGGGCTCCATGTTTATCATGATATTGATCCAAAATATTTTAAGTGATTCCACATGCTTCCCTGAAATAAACGGTTTTCACTTGGTATGCCATCATGCTTGATTTATATTCTAGCTAGCTCTGCTTAAGTTGGCCCAGGAGGTTCCTTTGATTGAAGTCTTATGACTAGATGTGTTCATGCTGCTTTGTTTGTGCTACTCGTTGTTTGTATAGGTCATGCTTTTGGTAGGTAAGGTTTATTACCTGAATTTTCATGTGTAATAGTTTTCATCTTCTAAGAAAAATGAGAAAAGAAAATGGTTTCATCGAATTAAACTTACCAAAGTGCTTATCTCTCATCCTGTTCATGGCTATCTTTGCTTATGACAGCTGGGCATTCTCCAATAAGATTGGCTGCTGCTCAAACACTATATGACATTGCAACTAATTCCCCAAGGAAAAACCCACATGACATGATCAAGTGGCCGAAGAAATCCACACAGAAAGCCATGAAAGCTCGCAAGTTGAAGTCAAATGAGAAATCTGAAGAAATATTCGCAACACCAAATTCAGTAACAAGACCAAACGACGTGATAAAGAATGTGATTGAGTTGCTGCCGGCGAAGAAGCCCAGGCTCTCCATAAATGAGAAGAGTAATGGTCTTGGTCATGCCCACACCATGAGAAAAGTCCCAGTGACATGGGCTGCTCCCAGATCAAGTAGATCATCTCCTAGCAAATTACTAAGGGACTCAGTTGTAGAACCAAAACATTATAGTCCTGACATTGTAAAGCAATCTTCTGTGATCCCACCATCCACAAGGGTCTTGGATAAGGCTTGCAATGGTCAGCAGAAGTTGAGGAGATTAGTGCCGATGGAGCGGAACTGGTCAGGAGGTAAGCTGGACTGATCAATATGTGGTGAATGCAGAAGCTGCTTCTTCTTTGGAAATTTGTTGTTCATTTAAATATTCAGTTAATTGTGAAAACTGGTAGGTCTGTATATATTGTGCTGCAAGTAGAATGGGATTGTTGTAGTGTTTCATCACAGAGTAAGAGGAACAGTGACGGAATGTTGTAACATTAATTGTAGGATGAGTGTGGAAACACATGGGAATTCCTTGCCTTTGTAGATCATAAAATGAGGCTATAGAAATTCACGTTCTCTCTCTCGTGTGTTTGCAAAATGCATAGATGTCGGTGTTGAAATGGTAGATGACAGAGCAGGTATCACCCTTTTTATGGGGACTTAAATGGTTGAAGTCGTCGTGGATCATGCCAATTTCGATCAATTTGACTCACTATTTCACTCGGGTAGATGCTATATACTGTATAATCTTTTATTTTTCCCAGACAAACCGAGATCGAACAGTATAAAGCTCAACTCATTAGGCTCGGTTCATTTGCAAAAGTCCACAAAAACTGGCTGAAACGATGTCCTAGCTCTTGATTGCTCTCCTTGCTCACAGGGGATACTTTAATTTCATAGACATTAAAATTTCATTTTGCTTTTCTATTTATGTTATCTACAAGATACATTTCATGTAGCCACGTTTTGATATTACATTTTGCTTTTCTATTTATGTCATCTACCAGATACATTTAATGGACTTGTTAAATTAAATTGACTCCATAGTCTATTTAGCAGATTCCATTTTGTTTGTAAGGTTCAAGTCAATTAACTCACTGTATTAATCCATTTTTGACATGTGTATAATGTTAGAATTGAAATTTTTTATAATAGGTCCATTACTTCTTAAAAACCCATATAATCTCTTTTGCTTGGTGGTCTCGTATAATATACAATTTTTTTATTTTTTATTTCCTTCCAAAAAGATGCAAAAATATCATTATTATATATTAAAAGCCTTTTTTAGTGCTCGTCTTGCTTACGTCAAAACTTTTATGATTGTACAAATCAAATTAGAGAAAGAAAATAAAATAAAGTAGCTTGCAAAAAATGTGTTTTAATTTTAAATTCTCTAAACCAGGGCTAGTCAAAAATTAGAAAAATAACAATATCAACATAATAATATTAATGAAAAAAATAGAGATAGAAAGAGAGAAGAGCATAAATTTAAACCAAAAGAGGATCAACACATAACTATATAGATTAATTTTACTTAAGTAAATTATATTGATCTCTTTGAGATTTTGTAACATCGTTCTCTCTCGTTTGTTAAATTATATTGACCTCTTCTATATATTGATAACACTGACCTCCCCTGAAAAGCACAATTATTAACAGTAATAATAATAATAATAATAATAATAATAATATTGTCACCAATTTTTTAATTTTCAAATTTACGTTCTACCCTTAAAAGACATGTAAATAAATTGCTATTAGAACAAAATCATGTAAAATTACTTAGATACCACTTCAAGCCCCCAACCCATACACCACTCCATCGCCCTGACCATCAACATACTAGTTGCGGAAGAGTAAAGAATGGTGGTGCAGCGATATTGTAGGGATAGCCGTGAGCCGTCGGATTAGCTAGGAATGACAGCTGTTATATAAACGGTTTTAGGGGATGGTGTTATAGTGCTGCAGCCACATGGTGTATCCTTAATTTCAGCCGTATAGATGATTTATCATATGAGACCATAGATGTGAGCCGTCGGATTAACAAGTGGAATACAGCTGTTAACTAAACTGTTTTAGGGAATGATAATATGCTGCAGCCACATTGTGTTAAATCAATTCAACCGTCAGATTAGACCCATATAGTAGATGTGAGCCGTGGATTAAAACTTTTTTTCAACTCTCTGCATATATAATATAGGATAATACTTAACAACTCACTGGTGAGTAGCTTCACCCTACTCACCCCTTGTATGCTCCAATAAAAATTTATCACATCAGCTTTAATAACAAAATAATTCAGATCCTCCTATATTTTTTCGAATTAACCATTAAATAAAAGTGAATTATTTTGTTATTAAAGTTGATAGTGGCAAATTCTTATTGGAACATACCTCGTTGTTGGGTGAAGCTACATTGAGTTGCTAAGTATTATCGTGTAATATATATTTACACAGTGGAGACAGTTAGCAACTCTCACACACAGACACACACTTTCTCCACCCTCTCTCTCTCTATTACAGAGACTCTCTCTTACACTCTCCTCATGGCGGCGGCCAATGATGGTCCGGTGGTGGCATTGCCAATAATTCCGATACCAGGCGTAATTCCCTACCTGCAACCTGACGACGTTCCTGCCATTGAAAGGATCTGGCGGAACCTTTACACCAGATATGGAGGAGAGGTAAACCCTAGCTTTCGATCTTCTTCTTCTAAACATTTCTACAAAGTTCTTATGCATGCATATGCATATACATATACATATATATTAGCGTCAGTTTACATATTCATATACATATACATATATACGGCTTGTTTATTTAAACTTTGCATTTACACAACATATCTATATATATTCATATATATATATATAAACCATAGCGACTCTAGTTGCATAAGAATAGATCGATCATATTTTACATATACGCCTTGTTCTGAATCATCTTAGCTTGAGCCTACACCTTTCGCTCTTTTTCTGTGTATACACATTCATGGTAGATCTAGGTCGACCGTCATATATATATATATATATATATATATATATATATACACATACACATACAGATTTACTTTCGATAGATAACTCTTCTTATTGTGCGAGCTACCTTCGTCTGCGTAGCTGCGTTTATATGCATATGCATATACTGTAATTTTATATACATATGCATATACAATATGCATATATTGATATGCATATACATATAATTCTTATTCGGTATGAACAGATAATCCTAAGACGATACGCTAGTTGTGATCGTTACCAAAATTCATGAAATCCTGATTAAATAATTGATTCTTAGGTCACAATTTGCTAAAATAGGATGATCTATATATTAATCTGTCCGCTATCCTCTTTTCAAGTATGGCTGTGTAATTGCTCCCATAGTTAACTAAGTTGCTCCATTTTCAACTAATATGCAGCTTATCCTTGAATTTCTGGGCTTACTGGCCGAGGTTATATGCGCTAGACTTGAGCATTTTGCCACAGAGAACAATAAGATTGTGCTTACAGGAATTGCGTTTGGATTTTTAGTGGTGTCTTTGGCTATTGTGCTCACTGAATTTGTCATGAGGTCTATTGATGATGGTGCGATCTTTACCTGGTCTGGGTTCAGGTATCGTGCAATAGTAAGTCAGCCTAGGTTACTCTACGGATCTTTGGTGCAGTTTATCGGTATAATCTTTGCTGTGGGGCATTTCGGCTTTTCTTTTGCGGACCTTATCCTCAAATGCTTAAAGAAGAATCTGGAAATAGGGTTCTCCATATTTCCTCTCATATTTGTGGTAGTGGTGACAGTCCATACTGCGCTTATGACTCTGGGAGTAACTATATTCGTTGTGTTAACAGAGGCGACATCCGCGTTCGTGGAGAGCATCGCAATGGCGTCCTACTTTATCCGTGCTTCACTTGTGAGAGAGGTGTTTGCCCCCACCATGCTGAGAATGAGCCAGAACCTGCCTGGCTTTTTCCCCTCAACCCCGAGTAGGCATCGATGCTATGCAGATTACTTCATTCCCAACTTGTATGGGTTGTTCAGCTACGTACATTTTACTTCCGGAGTTCACATCTACTTAGTCCTTTACTACATCCCTTGAATGGGTTGTTCTCTAGACCTACATTTTACTTCCTAGTTCAGTATGGGTTGTTCTATGGTGGCTTCAAGCTATATTTTACTTCCTATTTCCTAGTTAATATCTTTGGTGCAGTTCATCGGTATAATCTTTGCTGTGGGGCATTTCGGCTTTTCTTTTGCGGACCTTTTCCTCAAATGCTTAAAGAAGAATCTGGAAATAGGGTTCTCCATATTTCCTCTCATATTTGTGGTAGTGGTGACAGTCCATACTGCACTTATGACTCTGGGAGTTACTATATTCGTTGTGTTAACAGAGGCGACATCCGCGTTCGTGGAGAGCATCGCAATGGCGTCCTACTTTATCCGTACTTCACTTGTGAGAGAGGTGTTTGCCCCCACCATACTGAGAATGAGCCAGAACCAGTCTGGTTTTTTCCCCTCGACCCCGAGTAGGCATCGATGCTATGCAGATTACTTCATTCCCAACTTGTATGGGTTGTTCAGCTACGTACATTTTACTTCCAGAGTTCACATCTACTTAGTACTTTACTACATCCCTTGAATGGGTTGTTCTCTAGACCTACATTTTACTTCCTAGTTCAGTATGGGTTGTTCTATGGTGGATTCAAGCTATATTTTACTTCTTACTTCCTAGTTAATATCTTTGGTGCAGTTCATCGGTATAATCTTTGCTGTGGGGCATTTCGGCTTTTCTTTTGCGGACATTCTCTTCAAATGCTTAAAGAAGAATCTGGAAATAGGGTTCTCCATATTTCCTCTCATATTTGTGGTAGTGGTGACAGTCCATACTGCGCTTATGACTCTGGGAGTTACTATATTCATTGTGTTAACAGAGGCGACACCCGCGTTTGTGGAGAGCATCGCAATGGCGTCCTACTTTATCCGTGCTTCACTTGTGAGAGAGGTGTTTGCCCCCACCATGCTGAGATTGAGCCAGAACCTGTCTGGCTTTTTCCCCTCAACCCCGAGTAGGCATCGATGCTATGCAGATTACTTCATTCCCAACTTGTATGGGTTGTTCAGCTACGTACATTTTACTTCCGGAGTTCACATTTACTTAGTCCTTTACTACATCGCTTGAATGGGTTGTTCTCTAGACCTACATTTTACTTCCTAGTTCAGTATGGGTTGTTCTATGGTGGCTTCAAGCTATATTTTACTTCCTATTTCCTAGTTAATATCTTCGGTGCAGTTCATCGGTATAATCTTTGCTGTGGGGCATTTCGGCTTTTCTTTTGCGGACCTTTTCCTAAAATGCTTAAAGAAGAATCTGGAAATAGGGTTCTCCATATTTCCTCTCATATTTGTGGTAGTGGTGACAGTCCATACTGCACTTATGACTCTGGGAGTTACTATATTCGTTGTGTTAACAGAGGCGACATCCGCGTTCGTGGAGAGCATCGCAATGGCGTCCTACTTTATCCGTGCTTCACTTGTGAGAGAGGTGTTTGCCCCCACCATACTGAGAATGAGCCAGAACCAGTCT